TTTCTTAAAAACTTCAGGTGATGCTTAGGTGGTGCAGCGGACTAAAGTGCTGTTAAGTGCTAGCACTTAGCTGCCAGCTGCCTGCAATTAGTGCAAGTTCGAATCTCACCAGGCTCAAGGTTGACTCAGCCTTCCATCCTTTCGAGGTAGGTAAATTGAGGACCCGGATTGTGGGGGCAATAAGCCAACTTTGTATAGAACAACACCGCTTAGGAGGAGCCGAAAGCCCTAATAAGCAGGTATATACAAAAAGTATGCAGGCTATTGCTATAATGCATTGTAAGCAGCCCTGAATCTACGGAGAAGGGCGGCATACAAATTGGACTAATAAATAAATTGGACTAATAAATGAAGCACCTACAACATCTGAAGGCAAGCTATTCCACTAATTAATTCTCCCCACAGTAAGGAAGTTTCTCCTTAATTCCAGGTTGCTTCTCTCCTTGATTAGTTTCCATCCATTGTTTCTTGCCCCTGCCCTCAGGTGTCAACTTGCAAAGCTTTCAAGTTGCCATGAGCAGGAGGGAGGGAGAACTGAAGTGAATTCCATACGTTCTTTCTGACCGCAATAAGAAGGAGGGTGTTAGGTTTCACAGCTGGCCAAAGTGGTTAATTGGAGAATGTGATTTATGACATGGCCAGAGAGGAGGGGAGAGATAGGGTCATAGTGGAACGTAAATCTATGTGGGATCAGTTCTAACTGCATCTGAGTATTGCCGGAATGTTGCTCCTAATAAATGACTATATTTCCTTTGAAGTTTGGATCACGGCTCATGAATTAATTAGGGCATCTTTCGGAAACTTGACATCAGGTGCTTTGGAGAATAGCTTGACTGCCTCTTTTTTGTGGCAGCCCCTCAAATATTGGATCACTGCTATCATGTCTCCCCTAGTCTCTAGCCTTTTCTCTAGCCTGGCCATACCCAATTCCTGCAGTCTAGGGCTAGGGCTAGTCTAGAGAAAAGAAGGACTATGGAGGACATGATAGCAGTGATCCAATATTTGAAGGACTTGCCACAAAGAAGAGGGAGAGTCAACCCATTCTCCAAAGCACCAGAAGGTAAGAAGCAATGGATGGAAACTAACCAAGGGGAGAAGCAACCTGGAACTAAGGAGAAACTTCCTGACAGGGAAAACAAGAATCCAGTGGAACAGCTTGCCTCCAGAAGTTGTGGGTGTGTCATCACTGGAGGTTTTTAAAAAGAGACTGGACAGCTACTTGTCTGAAATGGTATAGGGTCTCCTGCTTGAGCAGGGGGCTGGACTAGAAGACCTCCAAGGTCCCTTTCAGCTCGTATTCCGACTGATAAACCTTCAATCATCCTAGTTTAATCATCCTAGCCATCTTAGTGCATTGGACTAGAAGACCTCCAAGGACCCTTTCCGCTCTATTTCTATTCCAAAGAGTTCCAGTCCCACCATAAAAACCGGCTGAGTGTCTTTGAGCCAGTCCCTCCCTCTCTTTCTCTCTCTCTCTCTCTCAGCCTAACCCACCTCACAGGGTCGTTGTGGGCAAAACAGGAGGCTGGATTTGTTTGCCACTTTGAATTATTATTGTTTATATGTATATATGTGTGTGTGTGTAAAATTCAAGGTAGCGAATAAATCCAGCCTTTTATTTATTTATTTCATTCATTTATTATATATATATATATATATATATATATATATATATATATATAGAGGAGAGAGAGAGAGAGAGAGAGAGAGAGAGAGAGAGAGAGAGAGAGAGAGAGAGAGAGAGGGTCTTTGGTTATTCGGGTCTTCTCCCATGTAAAATTGGAGAATATATATATATTTATTATATGTTTTCTGAGGTTTTCGCGGGTGTTTGTATGTAGGTCTTTGGTTATTCGGGTTTTCTCCCGTGTAAAATTGGAAGTGTCTTGGCGACGTTTCAACGAAGTCTCATTCGTCATCTTCAGGCTGGTGTTTTCGGCTTCGTGCTTTAGGAGCAATCTAGTCACATTGCTCCTAGAAGCACGAAGCCGAAAACACCAGCCTGAAGATGACGAATGAGACTTCGTTGAAACGTCACCAAGACACTTCCAATTTTACACGGGAGAAAACCCAAATAACCAAAGACCTACACACACACACACATATATATGCAAGTTTTGGTGTATTCGGGTCCTTTCGTGTAAGATTGAGAGTATCTTGGCGACGTTTCGACGAGGTCTCACTCACTCTTCCTCGCACAAGCATGAAGCCGAAAGACACCAGCCTGAAGATGACGAGTGAGACCTTGTCGAAACGTCGCCAAGATTTACTCTCAATCTTACATGGGAAAAGACCTGAATACACCAAAACTTGCATAACTCTACCCATGAAAATCTACAAAAACATATATATATATATATATATATATATATATATATATATTTATATATATATATATATATATATATATAAATAAAATAAATGAATTAAGCAAACAAATAAACAAATTACATATATATATATATATATATATATATATATATATAATAAATGAATTAAACAAATTATATATATATATAATAAAAGAATTAAATAAATAAATTGTGTGTGTATGTATGTGTATATATAAATAAATAAATAAATAAATAAATAAATGTAAAGGCAGGATACAAATAAACGAAATAAATGAAGTAAAGAGAAAGCAGGAGTGAGTTACCTTTTTCGCAGTAGAAGCAGCAGCAGCAGCAGGAGCGGCGGCGGCGGCGGTCTTCCCCCAAAGTGCCCCCTTCCTCCCCCAAATAATAATAATAATAATAACATAAAATAAAAGCGGCGCGTGTTTTAATGCTTTCCCCTCCCTCCCTCTCCTCCCTCCTCCTCCTCCCTCTCTTCTCCCAGCCTTCGCCCGGACCCTCCCCGAGAGACGTGAAATTGACTCCAAAGAGGCCGGAGCGGCGGCGGTGGCGGCGGCAGGAGCCGCACATGGCGGAAGGTGGGGCTCTCCCCTCGCCGGCCAACCAACCTTGAGCCCGGGTGGGCTCCGCCCCGACGGAAGGCTGGGGCTGGGGGCGTCGGGCGAAAGCGCCGCGCTTACTTTAGGCTTCCCGGCCAAGTGGCGACAATGTCTCTCTTTGCGCGAGTGGCCAGGAAGCCGGCGGCGTTGCGAAGCCCCGCCGGGAACGGGCGAGCCGGAGGGGAGACCTCTTAATAAAGTGGCCAGGCTTTTTTTTAAACAAAAAAAGGGGGAAATCGCCGGCGAGGCTTTAAACGGACCACAAAAAAAAAAAAGAAAAAAAAGAGAGAGAGACAGAGAGAGAGAGAGAGAGAGAGAAAACCTTGATCTAGCTACCTTTTCTTTCTGTCTGTATCTCTCTCTCTCTTTTCTTTCTTTTTCTCTTTCTTTTCTTTTCTTTTTTTTTGCCATTTGATTCATTCCGGAACGGGGGGAAAAAAAAGAGAGAAAAAGAAAAGAAAAAAAAAAAGGTGGGGAGCATGTTTTATCCAGAAATCAGCGCGTGCGTTTTCCAACCAGGATGGGCATTGCAGTCTCTTGATCCTAATTTTAAAAAAAAGAAAGAAAAAAAAAAAGGAAATCCTTTTAAATTGGGATTTTTAAATGGGGAGGGAAGGATGGATGGATGGAAGGGAGGATGGAAGGATGGAAGGGAGGGAGGGAAGGAAGTCTGGAGGAAGCGGCACCCCTGTGCACTCACCTTGCATTTTTTTTCCTCCTCCGTATATTCTCACTCACACTCACACATTCACACACACACATATACACACCCCTTTGCTTTCCTCCTCCTCCTCCTCCTGCCTCCTTCTCTCTTCCTCCCCCCCCTCCCCACCTCTTGCAATGCTGCTTGTGCCGCTGCGCCTCGGTGTTCTTTCTTCTCGGTTAATATAAAGGGGAGATTCTCGCATTGTTAGGAAAAGAAAAGAAAAGTAGAAGTGGGAATATAAAAAGCAGGAAAAGTAGATTTTGGGTGGGGGGGGCGAGAGGGGGAGAGGCGTCTTTTTCTCGCAAGTGAGAAACCTGTTGTGTGAACCGAGCGAGGGGCGTTCTTGGGAGTTTTTTTTTTCCTGGGGAGCGAAGAAAGGAGAGAGAGAGAGAGAGAGAGAGAGAAATGAAATAGAAGTTACTCCAGAAAGGGGGTTTCAAAAGGATCCGTTTTATTGATCTTGTTTGTCTAATGTTTTTTAAAGGAAGAAACCTCGGCGGGACAGATTCTCTTTAAAAAAAAAGAAAGAAAGAAAGAGAGAGAGAGAGGAGAAGATACCAAGGAAGAAAGAAAGAAAAAAGAAAAGAAGAAGAAGAAAAAAAAGCTCTTTAAAACTGGACAATTTCGGACTACACCGTACTGTATGTATGTTTGGAAGCTTTTTTTTTTTTTAAAGAAAAGTACATTGATTTGATTTTAGCGAAGAGGAGGAGGTGTGGTGGAAGAGGAAAAAAAATTCCTAATTTAATTCCGTTTCTGGGCAACTACTGATTGCCATCTGGGAAAGGAAGCTCTGGGCTCTTGAAAAGCTTTTCTGCCCCCCCACCCCCAGAAAAATCAAAACTAGGAATTGTTTTAATTCCTTCTTTTTTGTGTGTGTGGCTGTTGCCAGGGTTAGACATGGCAGAATCCAGAAGGGATTTCTCTTGAGACTTTTGCTTTGCTGACTTGACAGCTTTTCTTGACTTCTTTTTTTGCCTTCTTGGTGAGAGCTGGGAGACTGTTAAAGAGAGGAAGGGAGAGAATTCCTCTTCCCCGAACCCGGTGATTTATTTCCACTTTTCCTCTGAATTTTGCTCCTCTCCTCTTTGAAGCAACCCCCTTCCCTCCTTTTGAACATTTGAACCTCTCGGTCTGGTGGATGAAGGTCCTTCTGGCGAGGACAGTTGCACGCCTGCAAAGAGTTTTGAGAGGGGAAGCGGGAGGAGAAGGAAGTTTGCAGAGCGCTCCTTTATAGGAGAGGGAGAAAAAAAAAAGAAAGAAAGAAAGAAAGAAAAAGGAAAAAAAAAAGAACAAAACGACCCGCAGCCATCTGTTCCTGTAGAAAACAGACTTCCCCCCCCCCATTCGAAAGCTTGTGATCCCAACACACTAGATCGCTTTGCAGAAACCTGGATGGAAGGTAGGATGCTGCATCGCTTCGTTCCTAAGAAGAACTTAAGAACTGCAAAGGTACCCAGAACCTGCTCCATCTCCTTGCAATAAATTAAGGAATCCCAGATTTTTTTCCCCCTCCCCTCAAAAAAAAAGAAAGAAAAAAAAAGAAGTTGGTATTTTGCAAAGGGGGGCGGGAGGGGGGGCGAGAGACAGTGAGAGAGAGAGCAAGCCAGACGGAGGCGATTAAAGGGAAGATGACCTCTCCCACCCACCCCCAGACATTTTAAGAAACATGCCAAAATAAAAAAAAGGAGAAATGAGCCGGGGTCCTTCTTCTTAAAAGCATCAAAGCGCTGCAAAAGAAAAGAAAAGAAGAAGAAAAAAAATAGGCGAGAAAGGAAAGAAAGAAAGAAAAAATCTCCCAGCAAAAAAAAAAAAAAAAAGGGAAGAAAGGAGGAGGTTAAACCGAGCGCCAATCAAGTAAAATGCAAGTTTCAGAGGTAGCAGCGCTTGTAGTTGCCCTTATTGGGGTTTGTGTCTGGACGGAGGACGGGAGCAAAGTTATCTCGGATCGCTATGCGGTGTACTGGAACAAAACCAATCCTAGGTAAGTGGGGGAAAAAAGGGGGAGCGAGCCGAGCTTGGGGGTAAAAAAAAAAAAAGCTTTTTTGTCTGTCCTCACTTGAGTTTGAAGGGCTCTGGGAGAGAAGAGCTTGGGGAATTGGAAGTGGGGGCATCCTTGGACTTTCCCTGTAGATTTTTTTTGGGGGGGGGTGGAGGAACGTTGGACAAAGTGGAAGGAAGAAGAAAAGTTTTTCCCACTTGGGATGCCTGAAATGGAGATATGCAATCTTGTCTCTGGCTTCCCCCCCACCCCAACCCAACCCCCTTTTGCAAAAAGACATTAACTAGAAAAATTGCAGCAAAGAGACCGCTGGAGGAAATATTTCCAGCTCAGTTCAGGGGGAAAAAAATTGCTTCTTCCAAACTATCAACCCTATTATTATTATTATTATTATTATTATTATTATTATTATTGTTTGAAAAAAAATGCATCCCACACTGTGGCTTGTACACTTGTACAAGCTGTGTGCGGAAAAGTGGAGTTTGAAAGTTGGGAGTTTCATCCTGTCTGGTGTGAAGGAAGATTAACCTACAAAACTCTTGGGAAGTGACCTGTTTGGGATTTTTTTTTTTTAAATGATGACCAATTTTTTTGGGGGGGTGTATGTATAATTTTTGGCTGGCAGAGAGGTGCTATTTTGGTTTTTTTCTGGCTCAGCTGCTGCGTTCTCTGGTGTCATATCTGGGTTTGTCTGGAAGTTCAGGTCAGGCAATCCCCATCTTCCTAAAATTTGTAATGTGATTGCAAATAGTTTTCTTTCTGCTAAGGGCTGGAAGAATACCTTGCATAAAACACTTTTGGTCTCTTTTTTGCAAATTGATATATGCTTAGTCATCGTTGGGGGTGGTGGCATTATGGTGAATGTTTATTCCTGGATTTTTATTCTTTTTTTTTTTAGCAAAAAATTGGGTCAGGTCGCCTTTCTCTTAACAAACTCTCTGGAGGCCAAGAATGCTAGATTTGCTTAAATTTCACATCCCTTTGCTAGTTTTAGGCTAACTTGGATAAATTTTACTGGGGTGCCCTCTGTCTCCCATCTCTTCCCCATGCTTCAAGTCCCCCAAATAATTTGGGGGGGTATGGACACACAAACACACACGAACATACACACACACACAGAGTCACAGACAAGCAGCTGTCCTACATTTTGGCACCTTGTTGAAAATAAGAAATATTTAAATCAGTCATCCAGAAGTCAGTTCTAGGAAGTCATAAGACTGTGCAGCCAAGGAGAACAATTTTCTGAAGCGGTGCAGACTGTAAAATCAATTATATGTCACTTAAGGTCTCGATCTTGTCAAATTAAAACAGTTTTCTACTGTGCCTCTCTCTCTTTCTCGGTCTCCTTAACCACTTTGGATGGAAATATGGTTTTCTTTCGTTCTTCTTTTTTTTTTTTTTAAACTTGCTGGACCAAATAGGCAGACCTTATTATTTTTTTCCCCCCTGCAGCTTGAAGGGGAAAGTTTTATATTTCCAATTTAGTTGGGGGGACCAGGAGAGGGGGACAGTTGCCTTAATGTAGGATAGTTCTAAATGTGACGGTACCTAAAACTGAATAATCTTTGGAGAATCAGGCTGGCAAATATTAGAAGCTCACCCAAAGATGGTGACCAACGGATTTTTGGTGAAGGGCATGATAGTTAATTAATTATATTTTTTTGTTGAGAGGGGTATCTCCACTTATGATATAAAGAGCCCTAATTGGCACACTGGTTGGATTATAATAGTCAGGTAAACCCAAAGTTCCTAGAATGTGGGGTCTGTTTGTGCCACCCTTGTCCATGCCAGTCTGTAGTGGTTTGCCAGCTTGTAATGTGAACGCAAACCGTGTTTAAATGAGTCCTCTTACTACCTAGGTCCAAAGTAGGGCTAAGCATTCAGAAGTGACTTTTTTTCCCCCCTCACTGAAGGCTTATAACAGCTTTCTGAAGTAGCTGAAACAGGCTGTTGAATGACAGCCAAATCTTTGATTGCTCATAATGGACAGGATCTTAACCCCAAAATAACAGCTTCTTCTTCCTTTAATCTTAGCAAACGCCAAGCCCACCTTCCCAAAAATATTTTTTTTAAAAAAACCTTTCGGAAAAAGTGATTCTTATTCAGCCTCCGTTGAAGGAGAAGCTAGCATTAACTTTCCCCTTTTTTCCACCCCGTTTAGTATTTCATACATTGTGTTTTGTATTTCATAAATGGTGCATCGCTTTCGAATCTTACATGGGTCCATCATTTTCTCTTTAACTCTGAAATTTTAAGGAAACCTTTCCTTTTTTCGTTCCTTTTTGCAATTTGAGCCCGATTATAAAAAAAAAAGGGAACAAGGAGAAGTTCCTTCTTTATCCGGACAAAAAGACTAGTTTCCCAATACAATATTCATTTATTTAGAGCAAAAGCTAAAATAAATAAATAAATCCCCAGAAAATTAGCAGTCCGTGGGATACTTTTAGGGAACAGCGGTAAAATTATGCCTGCAGGTTTTTTTTGGTGAGTGCCTTGGCTACGGTTGAGGGTTTTGTGTCTCTTGGCACAAGTTGTGTTGTGACACTTGTTTTCAGCGCCTCTTAGCTACCTGCTGATGTGTCAGGGCTGTGTTAATGCGTGGAGAAATGGACTGGGGTGTCATCCGATTATGGAAAGGCCCACAACAGACAGAAGCTTGGGAGTCTGAATTGTTCGCTGGCAGCTACTTTTCACCAAAAAATGAAAAAAATAACAATAAAAATCTCCCCATTGGACACGAATGCCCCAACCTGCAGATTTGTGGGGCTCTTAATGGAAGGGTATTCTTGGTTTGTTCGCAACTCGGAGTCTTTATCTCTTCTCTCTGCCCACTTCCTGTCCTGAAGAATAAAGAGCTTCATTCTCCAGCCAAATGTTTTGGGTTTGAAGGAAACGGGGGGCTGATTTCAAGGCAGACCTACGTACTGTAAGGACATAGAGGAGAAGTTTAGAGGCCATCTTGGAGATTATGGCTGAGATTTGAGGGAAGTATCTCTGGGGACCATCATATTCTCTTGGCACTTGCTCTCTTCTGGGACCAACTTTGATGGTCTTTGCCATCATAGTTTAGCCACCAGAAGAACTGGGGATAATTTAATCTTTTCTACTTGAGGTAGAGGTATGGGGTATGGGGTATGGGGTGGTTGAGACCAACCTATGTGAGTCACATGGATTATTTTTTCTCACAGATGAATTCTCCATTTGTTTTACTAGCCATTAACCTCTTCCATTTCTTCCCCCTTTCCCCTCCTGTTTGCATTGCTATTTCCACTCCCCACCCCCACCGCAAAATCCCAAGACATGAATTTGCCTGATTTGGGCTGATTTTTATTTCATTTTTTTTAAAAAAAGCCGGTGGGCCACTGACCTTCATTGAACCTTGCCTTAAAAAACGAAAGCCTTATTTTCTCACTGTTTCTGCGGCTTTCTTTGTGTGATGTGGAAGATATTTTATGGCCACTGGGTTTTCCAGGGTTTATTTTTGGGTCTGCCCCCTCCCTCCCATTTCTTACATCATTGATAATTATGATTATCTACTTCCTGATTCTTGGCTTTGTAAAAATTAGTGGGGCCTCTTGGTGGGAATCTCTGAAAAAGGTCCAGAATGTAGCTTAGAAGAAATATGAAATATTTGGAGTCACTGTTCTGTTTCCTCAAAAAAAACCTGGAAAAGGTTACAAACTCTTATGTGTCTAATGCAGAGCAACTAGAACTAAATTAATATTTTTTTTTCATCATCCTACCAGTACTTTATACATGCTTTGAGCGAATGCCGGTGAATTATCCTAATAATAATGCAGAGTGTGGCTGGGTTATTTTTCCGTGAATTTGCCTATGGAAACAAACCCAACTTCCTAGTTTATTCTCATATTGTTAGAGTTCGCAGGTAAAAACCTAACCCCTAAAACCAAAGAAAATCAGATGTGCAAAAATAGTTTTGCAGGGATGGGGTCGCAAAGAGGCCGATTTTGATTCTGACTGATCACAATAGCAAAATCCAGCTAGCAGTTGTTTCGCATTTCATGGTGTCAGTTTTGTGGAAAGTGTGTCAATTGTGTTGAAACTTAAGTGGGTAAGAGTTTGTATTGCTAGGACAGTGTTGGGTGAGCTTCCTACCCTTTAGAGTAGGGAATCATTTCCTAAAAGAACTTGGAAAATAAGAATTTCAAAGTAGATCTTGCTCAACGCTTAAGAAAAAAAAGAAAGTCCCCCCCCAGTTTTGAATAATATCCATAACTGACTGAAGTAGCTTGAGCAGCTGAAAAATAATGGTTTATGCTTCACTAGTAGGAAAAGAAGACCCTCAATAAGATGAATGCACCTTGGTATGAAATTCTAGATTTGTGTATAAATCCACAACAAAATCCTGAATGTACAGTGGAAATTAGGAAGCTCAAGAGATGAAGTCAAGATAATATACCTTTTTCCCCCTCATGGAAGGCTGAGGAAGACCCGAAGATGTAAAAATCCCACAAAACCTTTAACGTCTATAATTTCCTTTCCTCTGCAGCTCTCTTTCTCCCTTTTCCCATTTCATTATTCCCCTCTGAAAGCCACCGTTTCCATCTTGTGGCACATTTGCCTCCTTGTCTGAGTAAAGAGGATGCCTTCCTTGATAATTGTGTCTAAATTAAAAATCAATTGTAAATTGAGACACCGGGAACTTCGCCCATTCTGAATGTAATTTTTGATCACCCGCAGGCATGCTTGATATCACCGACCAGTAAGCGTGTTTTATGTGGTGGCCACGGGTCTGGAGAACATTGAGAGATGTTTATTAAATATGTCTCTGTGTAGGCTGTTGATTGAAATACCGGCGGGTGGGAAAGGTTAGGCGTTAGACAAGGGTGGAGAGTCCTGTGTGTGTTTAAATTATATGTGTGTGTGTCTGTATATTTGGGCTGGGGGCTGGGTGGTGGTGGAGTGGTATTTTTAATCTGAAATTCCTCAAACCAAGCTGAGGTTGAATTAAAAAAAAAAAA